ATGGCGGTCAGAACATCCCTTTTCTTTACTAGAGGAATACCGCCTTTCACACGGTGCCTTTGTGATCGAAGACGTGAAGTAGCCTGTATGAGAGCCGTCTGGACGAGTCGCTTGGTGACGGAGAGAACAAGTGTGTGGAAGTCGTTGAAGGCGGTCCGGTAGATGCTTGGTTCTCGAGCCAGCTCCGAGGTGTATTCGGACCAATGTGGCCAAGGGGATGGTATCGTAGGCGAGCGGTTCATGAAGACGGTCTTGGAGAGAGTGAGCATGACCTGTGGGTGTAATAGAGTGGCTTCTGGAATATCTTCGAGGATGCCGTGCTTTCTCTTGGGCGCTTTCTTGTCAGGTTGGTCGCCTGCCTCTGATTTGAGAGATTGTTCGGGATATGTGCATTCGCCCGTATTCCGTCGTACGCAGTTGGCGCATGGTGTTGCTCGATCGCACTTTTGCTTGAACTTTTTGCATGAGATACATGCTCTGTGATATGTCAGCATGCTGTTGCCTGGTGTTGGTAGGCCTTGCATACCCTACGACGACTCTTCCGCCTCTCCGTGACGGTTCTGGCTCGCTGGCAGGCGGTGATGTGGTCGCTCGGTCACGACCAGTGTCGTGTGCGCTCTCAATCTTGTCAGCTACAGCAGGCGTGATCAGCCAGTAGTCGCCGAATCTCTCTCGCTCCTGGCTAGCCTCAAAGACGTCCTGCATCCACGCCAGGGCTTCACCCGCAAGATCCAGCTGCTCGTTGCACTCGTCGCCCACGTCGATGGCAGCAGGGACGTCGCGGAGTGTCACCTTAGCATCGCCCTGCCTGGTAGCAGCATCTTGAAGCAACAATAGCAGCTCCTGCGTCTCTGGTATGCTCTTGGTGCCGATCGCTCTTGCTATGCCGGGGATGTCGTCCCTTCCCAATCGCTCAAGCGCCGCGAAGAAGACAGCCTGTTCCTGTGCTGACCAATGTGAAGCGCCGATTTGTCTGTTGTAGTACTGGAAGCTCTCGGCATCCGTCTCGAAGCGCGCAGCAGCCCGAGTCACGTCCTCGTTGAAGAGCACGCGGTAGGCGTCGTTGTACTTTCCCTCGAGGTAGTATTTGCGCACGCGGGCAGGATCGATCGACTCTAGACGACGGCGTTTGCGTGGCGTGTGCGACGTAGACGACTGGCGGCGCGATGTTGGTCGTGTAGGCGGTCGCGAACTTTCATCGCTGGAATCTTCTGACGGTTCGGAATGCTTGTAGTCGGATGCGGAACTCATGGCGGATGCGAGAGGGCAGGCGCGACCTCAGTATCGCCGTGGAAGATATGCTGAGTCACGTCATGCAGTTGTGCGCGTATAGCGGCCATGGTGGGCGGTGATGGTCGCAGTGTCCCAAGGTTGGTGAAGAGCGCGGAAACATTTTGGTGGGGCCAGGCCTCGGCGTACCGCGTCTTGTACCATGGACCTGCGTCATGCATCGTGACTTGGCAACATCTTCGCTCCCACTTTGTCCTGGCACGCGTCTTGATGTTCCGCTTCGCCCAGCATGCGTTGAGGAACTGCACGCGAATGGGCTACCAGCCTGTTTGCGCAACCACGAGATATGCTTCAAGAAGGGCCAAGAGCCCCCAGGCCGTGGTCCCCAGTCCGCCCCCAGCTCCTCCGCCTCCGCCTCCGCCTCCACCGCCGCTGAAGATCCAGCTGCGCGAGTACCAGGAAGACTGCATACAAGCTGTGCTGTCCTACCTCGATGCTGGCCACAAACGCCTCGGCGTCTCTCTGGCGACGGGTTCCGGCAAGACCGTCATTTTCACCCACCTCATCGACCGCATAGCCGCCACTGGCGACGCTTCCCAGACGCTCATCCTCGCCCACCGCCGCGAACTCGTTGAACAAGCTGCACGCCACTGCAGCCTCGCATACCCCGATAAACATGTAGACATCGAGATGGGCAACAACCAGGCCTCTGGTGCTGCCGACATAACCGTCGCCTCCATACAGAGCATCACATCGGGTGGACGATTGGAAAAGTTTGACCCTTCGCGGTATAAGCTCGTACTGGTGGACGAGGCACATCACATTGTCAGCCAGACATACCTGGACGTCTTGGAGCATTTCGGTCTGAGACATGCGACTGACTGGACCAAGTCAAACGCTCCTGCCCTCGTCGGCGTGTCGGCCACCTTTTCGCGCTTCGACGGAAGGAAGCTGGGAGCTGTCATTGACCACATCGTCTATCATCGGTATGACACGAGCTTTCTCGAGCATAGACCCAAACTGACACGTCTAGTGACTATGTCGATATGATCGATGAGAACTGGCTTTCCGATGTCATCTTTACAACAGTCGAGATCAAGGCCGATTTGACCAAAGTGGGCACTGGCGCTGGTGGCGACTTCCAAACCGGCGCCCTCTCTACAGTCATCAACACTGCTGAGACGAACGAGCTCGTCGTCAAGACTTGGCTAGCAAAGGCAAGGGACCGACACTCCACCCTCATATTCTGCGTCGACCTCAGCCATGTTACCGACTTGACCGCTAGGTTCCGGACGTCCGGCATCGATGCCCAATATGTCACCGGTGACACACCTCCAAAGATCCGCAGCGCGCGTATAGACGCTTTTAGGAATGGCGATTTTCCGGTGCTGCTGAACTGCGGTGTCTTCACTGAGGGGACGGATATTCCAAATATCGACTGCGTGCTGCTAGCTCGCCCCACCAAGTCTCGTAATCTCCTCGTTCAGATGATCGGACGTGGCATGCGGTTACATAAGGACAAGCAGAATTGTCACATCATCGACATGGTTTCGGCACTTAGCACCGGAGTAGTGTCAACGCCTACGTTGTTCGGCCTCGACCCGGGCGAGATCGTCGACCAAGCAGACACTAAAAGCTTGACGAAGCTTAAAGAAAAGAAGCTTTCTGACAAGCAACGCGAAGAGGAAGCTTCCGAGCTTAGGAAGAAAACTGTCGCTAAAAAGTTACCCGGAACCGTCTCCTTCACTGAATACGACTCTGTGCATGATCTGATAGCCGATACTTCCGCCGATCAATACATACGCAATATTAGCCAGAACGTTTGGGTTGCCGTTGGCGACGGAAAGTACGTTCTCAGTGGCAATACTGGCAACTACTTAGTAATTGAACCATCCGGAGATGTCGAAGGTCGATTTATCGCCAAGTACCACTGGAAGTTGCCGGCTGATAAAATCGTCAACAGCCCCTGGGGTAGAGCGCGTGTCATCGCCGAAGGTGACTCATTCGACCATGTTGTTCACGCGGCAGACACATATGCGATTGACGCTTTCCAACACTTCTACATCTCAAAGCATCAAGCATGGCGTAAGGGTCGTGCGTCGCAAGCTCAGGTCGACTTTTTGAACAAATTCCGTCCCAAAGAAGATGCCTTAAAGCCGGAAGATGTGAGCAAGGGCAAGGCGGGTGACATGATCACCCGCCTCAAACATGGAATGAAAAGTCGATATGACAAAGCGGGTGTGAAAGAAAGGACTGAACAGCGCAAGAAAGCTCGCGCGGAGACCTTGGAGCAACGACTCCAAGGACAAGTACGAGTCGGGCCTTTGGAACAAGGCTCAACACTCAAAGAGAAGCTGCTTGAGTAAGGCATCGCGATCTTTGCATATATCTCGCGTGAGAATGTCTTCGCAGACACGATCTAGTGTCGCGGAAATAATGTTGGCTTGCAGCTCCAAGCGATAACCTCGCACTACGCTGAGTCGCTAGCCTCGGCAAGTGCGCAGCCGCGGAGAAATACAAATTCGAGCACGCAGACCTACCAGACCATTCATGGTATCTCCGACGCGTGGTTTCCTGCTAGATTTCCGACTTATCCCTCATAAGCTGGAAAACAAGCAGGAAACCATGCGTCAGAGATACTATGAGTGGTCTGGTGTACTATGGTTGTTGAGTTGAGAAACACTGAAGCCAAGGCTTACTTCGGACGCGTGATTTCCAGCTTAGAGCTATAGTCAGAGTGTGCTGTTGCAAGGCTGAGATGAAAGATTCAATGATTTTAGTTTTTAAATCTTTGAATCTTTCTTCTCAGCCATGTAATAGCACACTCTAGCTATGGCACTAAGCCAGAAAACAAGCAGGAATATGTCGCGTCTATTTCGCATGCGACGAAATATCAACCGAGTTTTTTTCGATACATTGGACTCTGCAGAAGAGTGACAAATGCCATGTCTGCAGACCACAATTTGTTCGCAATAGTCCCAATACCAGAACTGTTACACGCGATTTCGCCCTGTGAGCACTAGGAAGTTTCAAAAATTCGCGCAATATTGGCAACTACCGTGCATCAGACCAGACCAAAGAATGCGCAAGTCTAGCATCTCTAGAGCGACCGATCATCCGCTCAAGTATGGCATCTCCGCTGGATGGATGTTGGATCCACATCAAGAGCCGAGCCCCCACACCAAGTTCAGCCTTCTCGGTCCGGCCAGGAACAGACTTTAGCGGCATCAAGGCCCGCTAACGCCATCGCGTACACATATCACGCGCTATCCCCAATCTGAGCGTTAAAGATAAGCTCGCATATCAGAGCGTATCTGGTATGGTAATTCGAGATGACCGAAGCCTGGCGTTCGATGCTAGCTAGGATGATGACGGAATGCTGGATGCGATTGTTCCCCACAGATCGAAGTCGAGTTTCCGCGGTATTGCTGTGCAGCAGCTGACGTTGACCACACCGTTGACGTATCCAACTAGCTGGTTGAAGGGTGCCACTACGTTCTTAGAACACTCCGGGTTTAACATAGTATCACCAACTCCAAACAACTTCGATTGCCCCGTCTGCCTTTTGTCCGGTCTAGTCTGGTCTGGTATCTCAGCATCGTCATCTTGCCTATACGTCGCTTTGCGCATATCCTTTCCGCTCCATTGGCATAATTTCATGAATATTTCAAACCTGTTTGATCGCAGTGGCCATCACGTATAGCACAAGCCCTATACCGATCCTACTGAATCTTCCCCGAGTTTCGGTACCCATCTCCTAGTCGCGTATCATGAGCGTAGCCACCCAAAATCCGGCGGGAGTGCCCGTCCCTCCTGCCCATGAGCATCAGCCACAGCCACATGCCGCGTCCAAATCGATACAGTTACCACCATCACCACCAGAGACCGTGAACGGAGACGACACCAAGTCTACCACTTCGACATCAGAATCAGACTTTCCGCTTCCACCACCAGCAAATGCTCCACCACAAGTTCTGGACGTTGATAAACCCACTCCGGACGCGCATGTACCAAGAGACCCCAGACTAATCCGGCTAACGGGTGTTCATCCTTTCAACACCGAAGCACCGTTAACGGACTTGTTCAACGAGGGTTTCTTGACTAGCCCAGAGCTGTTCTATGTGCGAAACCATGGCCCAGTGCCTGATGTACAGGATGCAGAGTGTCTTGATTGGGAGTTCTCGGTTGAAGGGTATGTTGCGCTCTTGGAAGATGATGTCTTGATACTAAACCTCCATTAGTCTGGTAGCCAACCCCCTCAAGATCACGTTGCGACAGTTACTTGAGGAATACGAGAATGTCACATATCCTGTAACTCTAGTCTGTGCCGGTAACAGGCGGAAAGAGCAAAACGTCGTGAGGAAGAGCAAAGGATTTTCTTGGGGCCCAGCCGGCGTTTCAACAGCGTTGTTCACTGGTGTGGTCATGAGAGACATCATTGAGCGAGCGAAGCCACTACGGAAAGCGAAGTACGTGTGCATGGAAGGTGCTGACAAACTTGTAAGTCGCATTTCGGTGGACAACTTACAATGTCTAACACTATGCATAGCCCAACGGATACTACGGCACATCGGTGAAACTTAATTGGGTCATGGACCCAAACCGGGGCATCATGTTGGCGCACAAGATGAATGGCGAGATGCTGCGACCTGATCACGGCAAGCCGTTAAGAGCCGTGATACCGGGACAGATTGGTGGCCGAAGCGTGAAGTGGTTGAAGAAGTTGATCGTCACGTCTGAGCCAAGCGACAACTGGTACCACATTTACGACAACCGAGTGCTACCGTATGTGCCTCGAACTTGGAAATGAGATCAAGACTAACATTTTACAGTACCACTGTCGACCCAGACGAGGCAGCCAAGAACGCGAAGTGGTGGATGGACGATCGCTACGCCATCTATGATCTCTCACCCAACTCGGCTATTGCATGTCCCGCCCACGAAGAGAAGCTGGCCTTATCTTCAAGTCCCGAGTCGTACAACGTCCGGGGTTACGCCTACAGTGGCGGTGGACGACGCGTGACAAGATGCGAACTATCGCTCGACAAGGGAAAGACATGGCGACTTGCGAAGATCGATTACGCAGAAGACAAGTACCGGGCCTTTGAAGACCGACAACTATACGGCGCAAGATTGGACATGGACTGGCGCGAAACGAGCTTCTGCTGGTGCTTCTGGAATCTGGAGATTAGCACTGCCGAGCTGAAAGAGGCGGATGATATCGTGGTGCGGGTGATGGACGAGGCGATGTGCGTTCAGCCAAGAGACATGTACTGGAGTGTGTTGGGTATGATGAACAACCCATGGTTCCGGATAGTTATTCACAAGGAAGACGACATACTCCGATTTGAGCACCCGACGCAACCCGCGTTGATGCCTGGTGGCTGGATGGAGCGCGTCAAGAAGGCCGGTGGAAATCTCACGAACGGATACTGGGGCGAGAAGATTGGAGGTGAAGAGCCAGAACATGCTGCCATCGAGGAGGCGAAAGAGATCAAAATGACGAAAGATGGGGTTGACAAGGTCATCGAGATCGATGAGCTGCGGCAGCACGACAAGGCTGAGAACCCGTGGTTCATAGTCAACGGCGAAGTCTACGACGGCACTACTTTCCTGGAAGGCCACCCGGGTGGTGCGCAGAGCATCATAAGCGCAGCGGCCCAGGATGCTACAGATGAGTTTATGGCGATTCGTGAGTTTCACATCACCGAAAAGACGACACGACCCCGGCTAACAATAAGCAGACAGCGAAACAGCCAAAGCCATGATGCCAGACTATCACATCGGCACGCTTTCAGAAGCCTCCCGCAAACTCCTTTCAGAACCCGAACACATCCCCGAATCCACCACCCCGCGCCCCATCTTCCTCGACTCCCGCAACTGGCGCAAAACCCTCCTCCACTCCAAGACAAAAGTCTCCTGGGACACACGCATCTTCCGCTTCAAGCTCGACCATCCGGACCAAGCGCTCGGCCTACCCACCGGCCAACACCTCATGATCCGTCTCCGCGATCCCGTCACTCGCGAAGCCATAATTCGGTCCTACACACCCATAAGCCAAACCACGCAAACCGGCTACTGCGACGTTCTCATCAAAGTCTACGCCGACACACCCCACCGCGCGGGCGGCAAAATGACAAAAGCCCTCGACTCCATCCCCACAGGCCACTGGGTTGATTTCAAAGGCCCCATTGGTAAATTCGAGTACCTAGGTCGCGGTCTATGTGCCGTCAACGGAAAAGAGCGGCGAGTGAAGCGTTTCTTCATGATCTGCGGCGGCAGTGGCATCACGCCCATCTTCCAGGTCTTACGCGCTGTCATGCAGGACAGAGAGGATGAGACGCATTGCACTGTTCTCAACGGCAACCGGCTGGTAGAAGATATACTGTGCAGAGAGGATTTGGATGCTTTTGCCAAGGACAACACGGAGAGGTGTAAGTTGTTGTATACGTTGACTCAAGGACCGGAGGATTGGCAGGGGTTGAGGGGGAGGATTGGGAAGGAGTTGTTGGGGGAGCATTGTGTTAGGGATGGAGGGGAGAGTTTGGTGCTGATTTGTGGACCGGAGGCGCTGGAGAAGGCGGCGCATGAGGCGTTGAATGAGCAGGGTTGGAAGGACGAGGAGTTGATGTTCTTCTAGGGTCGATGTTGTTGTTTGTGGAGTTTTGGGGCATTGGAGGGATTGGGATACATATTATTTCGGTCTATTCACTGTATATAAAGTCGCGTTTCTCGAATTGCATGTACTGCATTTGCTTGAAGAGCCAAAGTATGCCATACTACAAGCACACCTTCAACAATTCTATCACCAAGTCCCTTGCTCGTTCCCATCACGTGTAGGGCCAAGACCAGTCTGGACATGACATCGCACTTTACCCGCCCATCTCGATCCTCTCCATCGTATAACCCTCCAAGCCGAACCACACATGTACAATGACATCCCCCGGAGACCATCAACCACAAACCCGCATCTCCGTCCTCTCCTCTCCTGATAACGAAGCGAGACGTCCCCCTGTCGCCAAGCCGCCTAGCTCGCGATAAGGAACACCCAACCAGTGCCAAACCCACCCGACGCGTCTCCACATCACACCTGTCTTGAAATCTCCACGGAGAACGCGTCTCCATCGCCCCCTAGTAACATTAATGAGCAATGTCAATTGTTTGACTGGACGCGCCACGGTATCCTTGTCGTTCATTACTGCCGTGCGAACGGGAGCTGGGATGTGGTACAGACAGTTGCAGGGGGTAGGAGCAACCCCGCTGCGTTACGATGCATTTCCGCGACCACCGCGGGGCATGCGTGATTGGGAGATGGGATGATTGAGCTATCTATCCTTCGTATGTGGCGGAGGGGTTGGCGCGGGAGGGCAAAGCGCGTGTTGGGTCGACGCGCGGGAGATGTTCGTGCCACGGAGTTGTTGGTTGCGGCTATTGAGGTATCTTGCTCTACTGATTCTACTCGTTCAAGTCATCTCTTGCTTTTGACATCTTTTCCTCCCCCCAAACTTCTGTGTCTTACTCTTCTTGGAGTGTGTGTTGCAGTTTACGCTTACGCATACGCATTGTGGTATCTTGTGCCCTCTTGGCTGAGTGTGCTAGTTCGACTACTTGCTTCAGAAGTACATCCGTCGCCTTGATATCCAGATACCCGAGGCTTTGATAGCCTTTACACACATCATGGCTGAGACGGAGCCAATCGTCACACATGGCATCGAGCCTTCATCTGGCGAATCACACTCTCCACCTGGCGACCGCCATGTCACAGCGACATGGGGATCGAAAGACGGGAACATATCGAATGCGGAGTGGAACGATGCGGAAGCTAACAAGCTGCCTGAGAAGGTAGCTGATTTGGAGAAGAAGGGCGAGATAAATGATCAACACCCACGGAAGAAGATTGTGGTTGTTGGATTGGGTATGGTGGGCATTGCATTTATGTAAGTCAGCAAGCCTTTTGAGATGAAAGAGGAGAAGCTAACTCGTCCAAGTGAGAAACTCATGAAGTACGATGTGAAGCGGAGAGAGTACGACGTGGTTGTCATTGGCGAAGAACCACATCTTGCATACAACCGCGTCGGCTTGACGAGCTTTTTCCAACATCGGAAAGTCGAGAACTTGTATCTCAACCCCAGGGAATGGGTAGGTTCAGCATCAAGCGAAGACGAAATTTATGCGGCTAACTTCATCCTAGTATGCATCAATGCCGGAAGGCTCGCTGAACTACCATCTCAACACCCTCGTTACCGAAATCGACTCCACCGAAAAGAACGTTAAGACCTCATCCGGCGAAACGGTACCTTACGATATCTTGGTCCTGGCAACAGGGTCCGACGCGCTCCTCCCTCGACATACACCCGGCCATGACGCGAATGGCGTATTCGTATACCGCACAATCGAAGACCTACAAAGACTCATCGAGTTTTCTTCGACAAGGAAAGGTACAACAGGCGCCGTGGTTGGTGGTGGTCTGCTAGGTCTGGAAGCCGCACACGCGATGATGGACCTTGAAGATTTCGCGAAAGTGAAGCTCATTGAGCGGAATCGATGGGTGCTATCGAGACAACTGGATGGCGATGCGGGCGGTATGGTCGTCGAACAGGTCCGCGCTTTGGGCTTGGATGTCATGCTAAGCAAGAGAGTGGGCAAGATCTTGACAACCGAGGACAACTTCGTCAAGGGTGTGGTGTTTGAGGACGGTGATGAGATGGAGTGCTCGTGCATTTGCTTCGCGGTGAGTAACATTGGACCGCGAAACAACGACAAAAGCTGACTTTAGCAGATCGGTATCAAATCAAGAGACGAGCTCGCCCGGAAAGCCGGTATCAAATGCGCCGATCGAGGAGGTGGTATCGTAGTCGGCCCTGACCTAGCGACTTCACAACCGGACATCTACGCCGTAGGCGAATGCGCCAGCTGGGAGAATCAGACATTCGGTCTCATCGCCCCTGGTGTTGAGATGGCAGATGTCCTCGCCTTCAACCTCACACAAGCGAAAGCACACGCGCCGCGCAAGTTCAAAGCACCGGATCTAAGCACTACGCTCAAGCTGCTGGGCGTCGAAGTCGCGAGCTTCGGTGACTTTTTCGCGGATCGCGACGGTCCGAAGAATATGCCTGGACGGCCGCGAGCTGAGAAGAAAGATGCCAACGGAGCGACGCCGAGAGATCGAGTTAAGAACCTGACGGACGGACCAGCGCCACCACCAGTCAAGGCTTTGACGTACAAGGACCCATTCCAGCAAGTGTACAAGAAGTATCTGTTTACAATGGACGGAAAGTACCTGTTGGGTGGCATGATGATTGGCGACACGAAAGACTACATCAAGCTGGTGCCCATGGTGAAGAACGAGAAGCAGCTGGAAATGGCGCCAAGTGAGCTTATCGTTGGTGCGCAGAAGGGCGACGACGACGGTTCAGATCTGTAGGTTGCACTGCGCCCATACAAAAATGTTGTACTAACATCACATAGGTCCGGCGACACACAGATCTGCTCATGTCACAACGTTACGAAGGACGATGTGGTCAATGCCACCAAGGACGGAACATGCAAGAGCATCGGCGACGTCAAGTCTTGCACCAAAGCCGGCACCGGATGCGGAGGCTGCATGCCGCTCGTACAGACAATCTTCAACAAGACCATGGCTTCCATGGGCAACGAAGTCAAAAATCACCTCTGCCCGCATTTCGAGTACTCGCGCGCCGATCTCTTCAACATCATCTACGTCAAGGGCCTGAAGGAATTTGCTGCCGTCATGAAAGAGGCTGGAAAAGATCCAAACTCCTTGGGTTGCGAAGCCTGCAAGCCGACCATTGGCAACATCGTCGCTTCGCTGTACAACAAGCATCTACTTGAAGTTAACAACAGGGGTCTACAAGATACCAACGACAGATTTCTGGCCAACATCCAACGCAACGGCACCTTTTCGGTTGTTCCGCGAGTCTCAGGTGGTGAGATTACCCCGGAGAAGCTGATCGTCATCGGTACCGTCGCGAAGAAGTACAACCTCTACACCAAGATCACCGGTGGCCAGCGTATTGACATGTTCGGCGCACGGAAACAAGACCTCCCCGACATCTGGCAAGAGCTCATCGATGGTGGAATGGAGTCTGGTCACGCATACGCCAAGTCACTACGAACAGTCAAGTCATGTGTCGGTACTACATGGTGCCGATTCGGCATCGGCGACAGCGTGGGCATGGCTGTGCGTCTAGAAGAGCGCTACAAGTCCATCCGTGGACCCCACAAGATCAAGGGTGGTGTGTCCGGCTGCGTACGCGAGTGCGCTGAAGCACAGAACAAGGACTTTGGTCTCATTGCAACTGAGAAGGGCTTCAACATCTTCGTGGGCGGCAATGGTGGCGCGAAGCCACGACACTCGGAGCTACTCGCCAAGGACGTACCACCAGACGACGTGGTGCCCATCCTCGACCGCTACCTCTCTTTCTATATCCGCACAGCCGACAAGCTCCAAAGAACAGCGCGCTGGATGGAGAACCTCCCCGGCGGCATCAAGTACCTCCAAGAAGTCATCCTCGAAGACAAGCTAGGCATCTGCGCAGATCTCGAGAAGCAGATGGAAGACCTCGTCGGCACCTTCTTCTGCGAATGGACCGAAGTACTCAAAGACCCCAAGAAGCGTTCCTGGTTCTCCCAATTCGCAAACACATCCGAAACCATCGTCGACACCATCGAACCGACCCAAGAGCGCGGCCAAGAACGGCCCTCATACTGGCCCAAAGACTCCATCACAGAAGACTTCCGCGGCACAAAATGGACAGAACTATCCTGGCAGCCCCTTGTCAAAGCCGAAGAGTTCAAAGACGCAGACACAGGCGACAGCAAGGCCATCAAGCGCGGCGACACGCAACTCGCCGTCTTCAAAGTCCGCGGTAAATACTACTGCACCCAGCAAATGTGCCCGCACAAGCGCGCCTTCGTCCTCTCCGACGGCCTCATCGGCGACGACCTCGCCAACAACAAACTCTGGGTCAGCTGCCCGTACCACAAACGCAACTACGAACTCTCCGGCGACAACGCGGGCAAATGCGCAAACGACGAGAGCGTTAACATCGCCGTCTTTCCAATTGAGGAACGCGGTGATGGCTGGTTGTATGTCAAGTTGCCCAGTGTGGAGGAACTGGATAGTGTGCTTGGTACGAGTAAGTTTAAGATCAAGAAGAGTGAGACGGAAGATCCGTTTGTGGCGCTGGATAAGAAGTTGCAGAGGATGCAGTTGAAGGGACGGAAGGGCATGCAGGTTTCGCATCTTGAGGGTGGGTTGGGAGAGAAGGCGAAGGCGGCGCAGATACTGGCTGGTGGCGAGAGGGGGGCTGGGGGCCTGGACTGGTAGTGTACGCGTGCGATTTGTGCATATCTAGGACGGCGTCGTGGTGTTTGTTTGTATATGTGATTCCCATCATTGGATTTGTACAAGAATAGGTACATCACTCTTACGTTCAATCATTTCCTCCTTCAATGCTGGCCATGAGATTGACTTGTGCAGTCGTGTGATCGCCTCAGCCTCTGCATGCTGGCTCCCAATTCTTTGGTATAATAGCGCTATGGGTTAGGGGTCTCTTGACCCGCCGATGGGTGTTCGATCATGCATCATCATTCAAGTTCGATGCTTTAGCCCTGTTCATAATGTTGAGTCGTACGTGGCGCCTATCGGTGACTTTCAGTATCGACGTAGCTGCTGGTCTTGGGCTAGTCTTCCAACTGTATGGTTGTCGAGATGATGATGTCTTTACTAGAATAGCTGCAAGCGTTGTTGCCGATCGGATGGTGAGTGTTGCACCCGCAGTCATGTGGCACGAGTATGAATGTAGTGGCTGACATGTGATGGTGGTACATGTCCACAGTCAGTTCCTGGAAACTCACTGTTGTTCGTTTTAAGGTGGTTGTATGATTGTTGCTTCATTACGCCCGGATTTGCAATCCGAAATGTAATGAGCGTTTAATAAAGTGTTGGGACTTCCCCGCACGAAATCGCTGTCATTTTCCACACGTGGATATAATAAACCTGAAACAACGGTGAGGCTATTGTGATCAGACTAGGCAACCAGTCATAGCAAGCTGTCTGTGTAGTATATAATGCTCATCGGCTGACTGGCAAAGTTGGGAATGACCATAGGTTCCCCTTTCGAGTATTAGGCATACGTACCTTGCCTAGTTTGCGCAGCAGAGCTGGGATGGCCGGAACATTATCTGCAGATGCGGTGTCGACGGTCAAGCTGGCGCGGTGCGATTCGCTACACAAAAGACTAAATAGAACGTGGTTGAGAACACAAAGCTAAATTCTGACAGGGAATCTCAGTAAGATCAGTTGATCGCATTCCCAGTGTGTTCTGTGTCTCACAAAGAGTAGCGCATGACTCCCTCAGTGCAGAATGCCCCGACAATCGCCAGTACCTTTTTACTTTTCTCCCATACCACCCAGGCACCCGGTAGTAGTGGCAGCCCTGTATTTATCGTCTGGGTACAGTAACCGTTGACTAGTAATGTTCTAGCCTCACGTATAACACAGGTAATTCGTAAGGGTGTCTGCTCATGATCGTATCATAGTTTGCTCCGATGTAGGCGCTCCTTCACATGCAGCTCAGCCCACGCTGACCGTCAAGGCTCGCAGTCTTGGATACCGCCTTGACCCAACGCCAGCGTGGCATTCAGGTAACTCGTTTAGGCATAGAGCAGTGGCTGAGGCTGTTGAGAAAGCTCCCACGCGCCGTTGTCTGTGTGTTTCTCAGTTTTCGCATGTGAACTAAGCTTTTGTTGAGATCCTGCACTCATCCTAGCCGATGAGATTAAATCGATCAACATGAACGGCGTCCCTTTGAGTAGACCTAGCTTCGATGGGACGATCAAAGAAAGAGCCCGATGAAGCCGACAGGCTTACTGTCGGCCCAGTACAGCGATATACGGTGTCGCATCAAGGCGTAGCACGAAGCACACCGCTGGGGGGATGATAAAGGCAAGGCGCACCGCGCAGTCGATTGGATTTCCATGAACTGGAACAAACCTCCGGTACCAAACGACTGACGTGTCTCTGTTGCCGTCACACTGGACCGAATGGAAAGGGGCTGGTGCTGTCTTAGTGGTTGCTTTCGTTGTCATCGCAAGCAAACATCTCTGTGACACACCAATCTTGGCGCGAGGGGTGAACAAGGTCCGTAAGCTCGGTCACCCGGTATACGAGGCTCTCACCGGTACTTTATACGTATATAGAGACTGGCTTCTGTGTCAGGTACTGTGACTAGGGGTGTTAACTTCTTTCTCGACCAGCAGTCCACAGCCAACAACCAAAGCCCCTTCGTCAAGTCGATAGCATTATCTAAGTGCAACTCATCCAGCTTTCCCAGATCCAAGTGTTCGAAACCATGAGGATCGTTTTCAGCGGACGCTGCCAAATCCAAATAAATAACGAAATTATATCTGCTTGGTTCCCTCAGGTGGCACACTGGCGCAAGATCGACGGAAGTGGCCTCGTATACAATCTCCAATCTCGCATCCAAACTCGTTATGGCATAACGCATCACCAGATTACCAAGACGCTGTACAATTTCTTCAACGAACTTGCACGATACCGAGGTCTTGACGAAGAACAAACGCAAACGTGCGTACTTCAAGTCCTGTTGGCCCAGTTGAGGACGGGCGCCAAGAGTCACTGGCACACCGACGGTCTCCGAGACTCACGCCACACTTTCATCATCTTAGCGTATCTGGCGTCGGCATACGAGTCTGATCTGCTGGCTGAAACGCTCGCGCAATTCGGCATCGAGGGCATGCGACAGATACAGAAGGAATTACCGAGATACCTAAGAGACTGGCATAAAGCCGCGGAAAAGATTCGAGAGGTCATGGAAGGGCCTACGGCGATGGATCTGGAGCCCTTTGCCATGGTGCCATACGCTGGCTTTCACCGTGGTCGGTCTCGCCGAGCCTTGCCATGGCCCGGCCACAGGGCGCGGTCATTGCCTGCCATACGACGTCGCCACAGCCCGGATATGAGCCTCGCCATCCCGACGTACCCGAGCTCTGGTTGGGCCTCGCCGATGATGTCGCCCGTCGGATATCCGGGAGGCGATTACTTCGACGAGCTTCAGAACCTCCAGTGGCAGCAAAGCGAAATGGGCATGAAGTTGAACAGTGTTGACGGGAAACTGGATGTTCTGCTTGAAGGGTTTGGTTATGGCCATGGTTACTATTGAGCAAGAGCAACGCTTCTCTGGTCTCGACTAGAGGTTGCATTGATCTGCCGTTCTGTGATAGCCCGCACGAAGGACCATTGGGTTGACGAAGAGGCGAACGTTCGACATTCGACATTGACGATCCGATCTGTACCATACGCGAGAGCTGGGCTCATCCAAGATGTGTCGCGAAACTGAGATGGGTTATGGAAATACTTTTCAGCGGGTAGGCTCTGAACCTTTCATGTTTCGAGACATGAATGTGCCGTGGGGTGCTCTAGCGAGGCGTCGCATTTACGGCCTGTTTCCCAGATTACGTAGCTTTTAGATAGCAAGATGGAAGCCTTGTCTGGCCTCTCAGGCATGTCCTGCCATTCTCACAGCGGTCTGTAAGCCAGAGATTCCAAAGAGAGAACTGGATCGCGTATCCCGAAATCTTATCAAATGATGTTCCATGCGTTTGATGTTGCTTCCCATGTCACAAATGGAACCTGATTTTCGTGAATGCGTGCACGAAAAGGCGTCCGTCGATCCGTACTGTCATGAGGCGATGGTACTGTAAGCCAAACCATAGCGTGAGCAGTCATTGGCTAGGATCGTATGAGGCGGCCACGCGCTTTGTCGGAGCAAACTTGTGCGACTGTTCAACGTATTCGTCTGTCTGTCGATCGATCGGAGGGGCTGACGGTAGACCCAGTGCTCAACACCGTTGAGCATATAATGATGCCAGAGGCCTGTCGAGCGAAATTTCTTCGGCTTTCTGTACCACCATCTTTTCCTCCCAACACATCATCGATATTGTTCGCGCAACGCTGTGTTGTGTCCGAAAGAAAGACTGTGGATCCATGTGGGATACTGTCACAATCAGACTCGCTACCAATGTAGTCCTCCACCCCAGTCTGGGCGGATTGCGGAAATGGCTTCCAGATGTCGTTCACAGGCTGGGATTTGCCGGAGCATTCGACGGCCGTCGCCTGATATCACAGATGGCTGAAGCTTCCTCCAAGACACTACTGTACCCGATCATATCCGACACTATCATTGCAACTCTTGAGGAGTTCATTGGATACCTTGCACCAAAGTCCAATTTCGCCGCTTCGACCGGAACACGCCTAGATGAGCATATGAAGGACTGTCTCAGGAAAGACTTGGGCACCACGGGAACCTCGGATCTTCGTCGCAGCAGGCATTGTTTTCTGATCTTTTGCTCGGTAGCTCAGGCCACTCGATCGCAGGCATTGGCCATGTCCATGGTGGGTTTCCTGCAAGGCCACCTAGACGAAGTCGTATACCGCGAACAACCTGGATTGCGGAGGGAGTGGTACATGGGCATCAGTGCATTGGAAGGCTTGATATCCAAGCGAGTCCTAGAGCAGCTATTACGCTGCTTTTCAGGTGCTGTGAGCCGATTATACAACACGAGACGGCAATTTGCATACGACGATCCGCGCGCTGAGTTCATGATGGAGCGGCAGCCCTATCCGTTCTTCGGTCATCAACGAAGAATGACACCATTGATGCTCGAAAGTCCGGCTAGAAATCGTCGTCGCCATCACCCTTTTCAGGTCGCATACCCCTGGGTCCAGCCGAATGATCACTTCGTCGACGCCGGAGAACTGAAGCATCAGCAGGGAGAGATAAACATGAAACTTGATCGCATCAACCGAAGGCTCAACCGTTGGTTCGACTGATCCAAATTAAGGTAGGTTTGTTCATGACTGGAGCGATTAGCTAAATCTGAAGGAAAGTTGCCTCTTTACGGACTTACCGTTGCTTTGTTGCATTCCGTTGTGCGCAATATATCACAACTACCTGCAACATAATGTACACCATTCCCCATACGCCTCGCTAATTCAAATGCTGCTCTTAAGCGGCTCTAAAGCATGTAATGATCACTGCAGCTATGCCATCACCTCAAGTAGTGAATGACCAGCCAGCAGAACAGGAAGAAGACGACGACTCCACCCCAGAAAATCCACTTGTCTTGCTTCGCTCTCCGCTCAACCATGCGGATAGTATCGCCACTGATTCCCAGGGTATTCGCAACCGTGTATAGCCGTCTCTGTGTTCCCTTGAGCATCTCCCTCTGCTGTCCCAGATCGCCAAGGACCGTCCGTCCTCTGTCTAAGAACTCATCCAACTGCTCTGACGTCTTGTTGAAAAAGGTGTTTTCCCTCAGCACATGGCCCTCGCGGTCGTAGTCGCCACCAGCAGGTGCGCCAGCAGAATAGGGGTTCGGTCGGTAGGGAGCGTTGGGGTTGTAGGGTTGGGAAGGTGCGAACGCCGAATGTTGGGCAGAAAGATTCGGCTGGGCGTAGGGATTTTCGGGGGTGGCTGTGTTGTGTGGGCGACGGCCTAGCAGTTCTGTACGCGCCTCTGTGGTTTGCTGTTCCTAGTCAGCAAAGGCGTTCGCAATGACAAAACGAGAGTCTTAGGCGTCGGTTCGAAACGTACGATTTCCTCATTTACACCTTTTATGCGCTTGAAATTTGTCCGGTACTCTTCGAGTTCAGCCCGGAAGTTCTTTAACCTCTCATGTGCCTTTTCTGCTTTGGTTTGCACAGGCTCTTGCTTTGCAAGCTTGCCATAGTCGTCGATGGTGCGCGCAAATGTGGCTAGGGACGCGTTTAGTTGGGCTTGGAGATGTGGTGATGGCGAGGCTGAGTCGGCAAATTGATCCAAGTCTTTTCGTATCGATGTCGATTGCCGTAAGGCGTTGTTGAAGAGCGCGTTCTGTTTGCGACGTAAGTTTGTGTTCAGCAATAAGAGTAGACGAGGCGTACCATCGCGGGCTGTCGGGGTTTACGTCGGTTCGAAGTGAACGTATTAGTTCGGTATAGATTGGAGTCGTAGTATGAAGTCTGTTACGGTGAAGGTTATACTGCAGCCTTGTAGGCAGACTTTCGCGACTTGACACATTGCATCATCGCGAAGTCCGACTGCTGGACCCTGAGTTGCCAAGCTTCTAGCGCATCAGCGCTAGCGGCATCGTAGAGCTCCCTCCAGTTCACTCTCCATGGTCCGACATCTGGGTACTCTACCACGATGCATATAGACTTGCAACTTGCCCTTACAGCTTCGTGCAAACCTGCCGATACTCATGTCCGATGCAGACAGCAGATCCTGGCCGAAGTCTGAACCGCCTGGACTACGGTACCCCCGCCCTGGATTCCTGGACGACATCGCGACTACTTCTATAAGTGGCCAACCACAGGGCATGAAGATCCGACGTCCTGAAACTTCTGTTCTGATCAGTAATTGCGGTCTGCGATCCTCATGTTACCCAGCTATGCAGGCTGCGGTGACAGCATGCCCGCACAAGCCACAGTCGTCAGTTCCGCCTAGTGGTTATTCTCCGTTCTACCCTTAGTCATTGCACTGCGCCCTCCTTCTTATCGGCGTTCATCTGGCCTTGTCAAGCCTTCAATCATCCGTGGTTGACGTCGTTCTTCCTTCTCCACCTGCCTAATTCGGTAATCTCCTACCCTGTCGGCAAGTAGCAGGGCTGGGTATTTACGCTTGCCGAGCCGCGGAACAGGTGCATCTCGAGAAGAGATCGCAGAAAATGATGATGGGCACCCACTGCAGACCCAGTGTGCTAACTGGCATGGGAAGTTCGTTGTAGACCACTTCCGATATGCGGATCCATGCCATAATGTGCCGTCTCGCACATTGGGCGACGGCCCATCTCCATTTTCGATATAAGAAGCCGATTTGCGAGCTTTGTGTCTGATAGCCATCTCTTCATCGCAGTCATTATGTTTCTCCGATCAGCACTGTTCGGAAGTGCGCTGCTCTCGAGCGCCTACGCGCACGAGGTTCTTTTCGGTCGCGACCTCCCGCTACCAGTGGCTGCCAACGCGGAATCATATACCGACTGTGCCAACGCAGCATGGCCTCCGTCCAATGTCGGCGTGGAGCTGATTCCGCAAGCACCAGACGATGAGATGCGAGCTATTGTCAATGAAATCAGTTCAGCAAACATCGAGGCTACGATCACCAAACTTGTATCGTTTGGAACACGCCATACCCTCGCCACATACAACAGCTCGACGCGCGGAGTAGATGCAGCGAGGGATTGGGTTGCCTCCGAGATGCGAAAATATGCTGCGGATAGCAACGGCACGATGACGGTCGAGGTGCAAAGCTATTTGCAAGGAATAGCCAGCAGAATCCCCTTTCCCGTGTACATATCGAATGTGCTTGCGACTGCCAAGGGAAGCGAGACTCCCGACAGGGTATATGTCATGACCGGACATATTGACAGCCGGGTCACTGACGTGCTCAACTACGATGCCGACTCTCCCGGTGCCAACGACGACGCGAGTGGAGTTGCTAGTATGTGTTTCTTGGAAAGATTATTACAAGATCAAAGCTGACTTATACAAGTTGCGATGGAGATTGCTCGTGTTCTTGCCAAGCATCAGCCCAAGTCAACAATAATCCTCGGTGCTGTATCTGGCGAAGAGCAGGGTCTATATGGCTCCACCTATCTGGCACAAACACTTAAGAACTCTAGCACGAATGTCGAAGGCATGCTGAACTGCGACATTGTCGGTTCCTCAACTGGAGATCGCGGTCAGAAAGACCCCTATACCATTCGCGCTTTCGCTCAAGGTGTTCCGCCTCTTTCAGCCGAAAACAACGTCACAGCAGCGCGACGCCTCCAAATCGGTGGCGAAAACGATAGCCCTGCACGAGAGCTTGCGCGCTTCTCCGCTGAAGTCGCTGCCAACAATGCCACCGGTATGAACGTAGCCATCATCTACCGCCTGGACCGCTTTTTGCGTGGAGGTGACCACACTGGATTCCTTCAAGCGGGTTACCCTGCTATCCGCTACACGGAGCCTAACGAGAACTTCGCTCATCAGCATCAAGACTTGCGCACCGAGAACGGCACCGTCTATGGCGACCTAATTGAGTTCGTCGACTTTGACTTCACAGCACGTGTTGGCAAGGTCAATCTCGCCACGCTTTGGTCCCTCTCACAGGCTCCTGGCATGCCACGCAACGTCACCATCGACACGACAGTTCTGGACAACGACTCGCGCATCAAGTGGATTGTTTCCAATAGCACAGATGTTGCGAGCTACGAGATCGTGTGGCGAGCCACTACAGCGAGCCTGTGGACTCGCATGCTCGATGTTGGCAAAGTTGGATCAGTTGTCCTTCCTCTCAGCAAGGACAATGTAATATTCGGCGTGAGGGCCGTCGGTACGAACGGGTACAAGAGTCCGGCTGTCTATCCTTTCCCTGGATAAAGCATTGATCCATGGAATGACGCAGGCCTGGGTTCTCCAACGAACCAGAACTGCCAAATTTACAGTATACTTAAGTCGCTGTACGTATCAATGCATGTGTCTAGCGAGTCTGCGAAAGATCTGGTTTTTCTGCATATGAATGTGTTCCCACACAGGTCCTCGCAAGCATTCCCGCTTTCGGTATGGTAGTGCCAAGCGTGACCGGGTGTTGCAGTATCGTGACTCTGTCTTTCGCGCTTAAGCCTAAGAGGTCTTTTTGCGTACTTTAGTTATATATATTAAAAGAGAAAATATTTAGTAATAGTAGTTTACTAGACTATTTATCTAAAGTAGTTATTTTTATATATACTTATAGTAGCTAAGAATAACTTTATAATAAATATGTAATAAGTTATTATAATAAGTTAGTATAATAAGTTTTATAATAGCTTATACTATAGAACTAAAGTTAAAGCTTAACTAGTAAGTTTATAAAATATATATTTTTTACTACTTTTTTTTAAACTTTTTATTATAATAATAAATAACTAAATTATTATAATAATAAACGCCTAGCTTATTATCTATTAACTTTTTAGCTTTTTTAATAATTTTATAGTATTATTTTTATATTTATATCTTAATTCTTTACTATAGTATAAAATTTTCTACTACTTACTTACTTTTTTTAAAGTAATACTTAAAAAATTAAAAATAAAAAAAGTATAGCTACTTTATTAAGATATAAAAGTAGCTAAAATAATTTTATATATATTTAAGTAGCTTAATAATAGTATATAATTAGTTTATACTTTAAAGTAAAGTTTCTAATATTATAGTACTAAGTTATTTTTACTTTTATATATAAGAAGTAGCTATAATTAAAGTACTACTTTTTTAACTTACTACTAAGTAGTAGCTAATAAATTTTAAAAGAAAGTTCTTAAAAAAAGTATAGTAGTAAAAAGTAAGCTTAGTAAATATACTACTTACTAAGTTTAGTATATAACTAGTTTAAAATAGTTAAAGTAGTTAAAGTATTATAAGTTAGTTTTAAACTTTTATAATATTTACTATTTATATAAAAGAGTAGCGTTATAAAAGGAAAAAATCTACTTCTAGACTAGCGCCTTAGTAAATAAAACTAGGTTTACATTAATATATTAAGAGCAGTATTGTAACTAATTCTAAGTGCAAGACACAGGCAACGTACGGAACCTACAAGTAACTTCTCATATTTGTTCGCCGTTCGTCAGAAGTCGAACTTCATCGTCCCGCGCGGCTCGTTGTTTTGCTCGGTGTTCGTAGCCATGTCGTCTACTCACACCATAACACAGACAGATCCAAGCGCCAATCGACTTCCAGGTAATACGCTACAGGCGAGTATCGAATTGCGACATGTAGCACCGGCGACGTTACGCGACCAAGGATGTAAACACAATGACCAAAGAAGCAGCGGCATCGAGCCAGCCGCATTCCTTCCCCAACCATCAACGACAGTATCAGTAACTGAGCGATGGAACCATCCAAAGGCCAATATATCCCGCACATTCGCTGTTCTCTTCGCGTTTATTATCATGGGCGCAAATGATGCCGCATACGGTGTAAGCGATACAACACTTTCGCATACATGGACACTATTAACGTTACACAGGCTATCATTCCTTACCTTGAGGGATACTACGATCTAACATATGTTGTCGTCTCGCTAGTGTTTCTATCTCCGATCGGCGGATATATCAGTGCTGCACTCCTCAACAACTGGCTGCACATCCACTTTGGTCAACGGGGCATTGCTTTCCTTGGACCTGTTTGCCATCTAGTGGCCTACGTAGGCATTGCCCTCCATCCGCCATACCCCGTTTTGGTGATCTTGTTCATCTTCTCGGGATTTGGAAACGGCATTGAAGACGCAGCCTGGAACGCCTGGGCAGGCAGTCTAGCGAATGCGAACGAGGTTCTGGGATTTGTGCATGGGCTATATGGGCTGGGGGCTTTGCTTAGCCCGCTAGCTGCTACTAGCTTGATTGCGAAGCGTGGATGGCAATGGTATCAGTTCTACTACATCATGGTCAGTCGCCAAGGACACTCAATACATTGTTGCTAACCTTAAATAAGCTCGGTGGCGCCTGCATTGAGCTTGCGACATCGCTTTATGCATTCCGATCGAGTTCAGGTCAAGTGTATCGAGAAAAATCGCTTCGCGCGAATGCGGAAGGTGAGAGCCGTCTTAAGCAGGCACTCAGAAGTCGCGTCACCTGGATTGCCGCTATCTTCCTCTTCGGATATGTCGGAGCCGGTGGAGCGCTTGGAGGCTGGATCGTTATCTTCATGCGCCGTGAAAGAGCAGGCGGCGAATTCGAATCTGGGGTTGTCGCGACCGGATTCTGGACTGGCATCGCTGCTGGCCGCCTTGTCTTGAGCTTCATCACACCAAAGCTTGGCGAGAAGCTCGCTGTTCTGGTACGGTCAAGATTGGAATGGAACCTGCATAAGCTAATTGCACGACAGATATACATTGTTATCGCCATCACATGCCAACTCATGTTCTGGCTCGTTCCATCCTTCCACGTCTCAGCCATCTTTGTCGCACTACAAGGCTTCTTCCTCGGTCCGCTCTTTCCAGCTGTCATCGTCGCAGCGACTAAAGCTCTTCCGCCACATCTCCATATCTCTGCGATAGGCTTTGCTGCTGCGATAGGTGTTGGCGGAGGTGCTGCGTTACCCTTTGCTATCGGATCGCTTGCTCAAACAAAAGGCCTTGGTGTCCTACAACCTATCATTCTGGCTGTTCTCGCAGCTCTCTTGGTTCTGTGGCTGTGCTTTCCGAAATTGGAAAAGAGAAAGACGGAAGGAGGGGTGCCACTGCTCTCGCCAGAAGAACAAAGAAAATGGTGGCTCAACGTCGATATTGATCTTGTAGAGACCATGAGACGCGTTCTGAGGAGGGCTGCGGGTGGCCAGATGGTCGCAACTGCCTAGGAACGTTGGCACATGGTGTTCATAACCCAGCCCTGAAGGGCTCTTTCCACTTCCACCCGCGCTAGTTTCATTGTGGTGTCAACAAACCGACCCTCACCCTGCCTTCTCTCACCACCTTCGACTTTATGTCTTCGCAGTCGACATCATGTCCTCCAACTCACCCGAGGCTTCATCATGCTCCATCACAGACAAATTGCGCTCTCTGAGGGCTGAAGTGGATGAGCTCGCTAAGACCCTCGCTTCCGATTCGGACTCCTCCACAGAGACGCTTGTCGGACATACACCATCAACACAGAGTGCGGACACTTACCCGGGAGCTAAGACAAAGCCGAGTACGCCATCAACATCAACCAACGACGCCAACCAGAACGAAACTCGCGAAGGACACCCATCCAATTCTGACGACACCGATATCGTGTATCATCCCCATCTCCGCGACGTAAACAGCATCCCCGACCTTGGTTTCACCTTGACGGAACTCGTAGATATCCCCAACGACATCATCAAACGGTACTACGGCGATCGCATCCATTTCTCGAAATGGTACGCTGGCCAACCCTATACAATGGCCTGGTGTATCAAAGCGGATGATGTACTCAATCCTATCGCTATTGTCATTCGATGGCCCAACGACTCAAGTCTTGATATCGTTAAAAAGGACGACGACGGCGAAAGCATTGCCCACGTTTCAAGACACCAAGAACGGACCAACACCCTGGGGACGGCAGCCGCCAACATTCGTCTGAAATTCGGATGTGATCGGATTGGCTTCTACGACGGTGTGCATCTGATTTTGTTCGTATTCAGCGATAAACCCCAGTCAGGTGTCACCGTATTCGTGGGATGGTCAGATGAAATTCGCTACAAGCTCATTATGTGGCTAGGAGAGGCGATCCGAAACACAAACGTGCAGATGTTGAAACCGCTTGCGGGATACGCGCTTGAGGACTCGAATCTGGAGGCCGCGGCTCTGGAGCCTCCGCCGCAATGTTTCCTACATGACAAACATGTCGACAATAGCGAGGTAAGCAGCGCGCTACTCACGTTCGGCGCCCAGTACGGTGGCTGTGCATTCAAAATCTACACAACCCCTGATGGCAAGCTCGTCAAAGTGGGAGACAGCCCACTCCATACTGTCGACGATTCCGCAATCGCCACACCGGAAGGCGTCCTGAAATCCTCACAACTCACTTTGATCGACTTTCTGGTCATTGCCGGTAAGGATCACTCTCCGGCCCTCAAACACAGCTACGATATTGTTCCCGACGCCATCACCTGGTATGTGCGCAAGACCGGCGAACGCAACGCGAAGGAGCTCGTTGGTATAGTTCAGTTTGCTCCTGCCGGCACGATCGTACCCGGCGATTGGGGTCTCCGGAAGCCGGACCTTACGTTCACGAATGGCGAAGGTATCGTGCGCACGGCGAAGCCCCTTCTGGAAGCCATGTTATCATTTGGACAGAAGCGGGAGTGTTATTGCTTGGCATTATTCGACTATCACAACGTCGTCTTTGTGACGCGTTGTAAGGGAACGAAGGTGAATGCAAGCATAGCGTTGATTGGTGGGGAGAGGATTCGCGGCGGGTTCCTTCAGTGGCTGATACGAGCATTGAAGATTGCAGATGAGGATTTCGATGCTGTTCAATGATCTTCCTAGTGCTGAGATGGATGCCATGAATAGCTTACATTACGAGAACTCTAAACCTTGCGTGTCGCATACATACAATTGAATCATCGAGTTATTCTAATCCATCGAATCACGCACATTGGCTCTTTTTCAAACCTTCATAAGACCTCCAGGAAGTTCAGCCAACCCTAGATCGAGTGATTAGTATAGAATTTGTATAATAATACGGCATAACTTACAACCATCAACATCCTCATCAACAGTCCGCGGAATAGTACACTTCATCGCCTCCTCAGTAGTCTGATAGTCCAGCACCGAACACTTATCACCTATACAGCGCGCATTCATAGCACGCTGGAGTGAATCATCCTTCCAGCCAAACACGTAGTCTCCATGCTGCGAGAACCCGTCGCTGTATTGACAACCCGTTAGACTCGATCAACGTTCGAGGAGGATAAAGAGAACTCACCTGTCCCCCGTACTAAGCACAAAAGGCTGACTTCCATCCTCTGGCCACAACCCCTCGTCGTTGAACTCCCTCGTATCCCACATAACCTCATACATAACCTGCGGAATAGCCACAGGATGTGACTCAGGACACGTCCCCGTAGGCCCGACATCGGTTTCTCCCGCCCCGTCCGCATACGCCACATGACTCTGATGATCCGGAGAATCCAGGTTAACGCCATCCCAACACGTGGGGAAAGTGATAACAGAGCGAATACCGCCCGGACAGAAACCCGTAGGAAGTGTCTGCGCATCCGGCGCCGCGCAGTTGAGATGCATGTTATCACCCGTCTCCGGCATACACCTATAACACACCTTCCGAGCCGACGTTTTCTCCGTCGCCAACGCATCCCCAACCAACATGCGAAACCCGGGTCTGAAAGCCGTAACACCAGTCTGATTCTTCGTATCAGGCGTATAATACACCGTAACCCCCCCCGCGCCCTTCAGCCCCTCACTAACGGACTGCGGCACCCTTTTATACGTGCCATTGCGAGCGCGGAAGTACAAGACTGCGGTCCAGTAGTTCGAGAAGTCTTCAGAAAACGTGCAGCTTGTGCATGTGGACGCGGTGACGAGGTCGTGGGACTGCGGCATGGAGGCTGTGAAGGAGTTTCCGCCGACGATTTGGTGGAGGTGGGGGGAGGGGATGAGGGAGGGGAAGACGAGGGGGTCGAGGCGCTCGACGACGAGTTGCGAGCATTGGAAGCGGAGCATGGGGGGGATGGTTATGTTGAAGAAGGGGGGTTGGGCTGAGACATGGTGGGCGAGGAGGAGGATGGGGAGGAAGGTTGGCCGCATGTTTGTGGTCGTGGGAGGTGGTGTTGGAAATGAGGATAAGAATAGTGGGATGTCCGGAATTTAAACGGCGCGAACACTAATAAAATGTAAACTTCAGATACTTGCTGTCCGTCTTTGTCTGCCGTCTCTCACATCTGATCCACGATCACATGTTGTTGAGTAAACAGCCAATGTCGGTGTGATGGCTGCGGGGCCCGGGAGTCACTTCCTCGGGTCCTACCCTAATGTCGCACGACTTCATTTTAGCCTTTGAGAACGCTGGCAGTATCATACTCGACGATCACTGCGATACGCATGTGGGGCTCTGCGTGTATATGAAAAGTAAATTGCTATCGCTGCAAACCCATGTAGGTAGGTGCATGCCAAGGACATCCTTCAAATCCTTTAGCTGATTTAGAAGCCTGATAAAGACGCAAGAGAGAGTTGGCACATGAAAAGAGAAATATTGTCGCCAGTTTAAGTAATGCATAGCTGAAAAACCTTGAAGATAGGGATGCTATGTACTAGCAAGGAAGTATTCGATACTTTTCAGACGGCTAGCTGGTTATCGTCCGCGTCGACGTATACAGCACGTAGGATCGTTCTCTTCTCCACAGGCGGCTGCTTGTAATCGTGTATTCGTTATACCCTCCAAGTCAATAATACGCCAACTAAAATGTGGGAAGGTGGTTCTTCGTATCGAGGAAACGTCAAGACGGACTCTTAAGCGAAAGAGGTGGTTCGATTCCGTAACCGTACGTCGTGTGAGATGATGCGTTAGTCGCTTTCGGGGTATCTAAGGCCGTTATCATATTCAGCGCGGCATGATTTGTAGTCTAGGTGCATCGAAGAATCGATCTCTGATCTGCTTGCAGAGTCGAGAGGAAGTGGGGTCCAAGAAAGGAGCGTATTCCGTGGAAATGACTCATTTGCCAGCCTCCTTCATCGTTATAGCCAGACCGGAGGCAGTACTTGACATGCTGCTACCACTGCCACTTTTCCTTCTACTGTGTTGTTTGGCGGACTCGGAGCCGGCACTACCACGCCGACTATTTGAGGTGGGATGCACAGGGAAGTAGCCAGATCCGTCCTCGACGGCAGAGCGTACTGGTGTCCTTGCCCTGCTCTGTACCGGGCTCATGCGAAACGCTTCTGATCCAGCACTCCACCTCTGTCCCGGACTTGCACCGCCTGTCAAACTCCGCGCATGCCTCCGCGTAGGCGTCTCGGCAGGTAATTGGAGCCGTGAGTTGATGCCCATCCACAGCGCCTCTTCGTCGTCGTCCCCCGGCACTCTCCATCCTCCCACGCCCTCAAAGTCACGCGTCAATTCGCTTGTACCAATGAGCGCCGTGAGAGAGTTGTTCTTATGTTTCAGGAGACGTGACGTATGCGCCGAGTGTAGAGCTGCATCTTGCGAAGATGTCGTGCTAGCCGTGCTTGTGCGGCGATGGCGCTGCCCGGTCGGGGAGTGTCGGGCGGACGAAGGTATAAGAGGGGCCCGAAGCGGAACTGGCTTCGAAGCCGATGGTGATAGCCATGCGCCTATGATTGCAATGGCGAGACGGCAATATACGGTTAATGCGCGGAAGGAGAGGAGCGATACGGCGATTGAGGTGGTGACGACGGCGAAGAAGGCGAGCGGGATTGAGACGGAGAGCAGGATGAAGGGCGTGACGGCATAGACGGGGTTCCACAGGCTGAGCTCAAGGCTGGATGAGCCCAGTCGAAGAAACATAATGGCGACCCGTGGTGGAGAAGGAAGCAATGATGACGGGTGTTCGCATGTGAAAGTTGCGGGGAAGCGCCAAGGTCAACCAGACGCGACCTCTCCACCCGTTCTCTGCGGAGCATCGACAGCGAGCCTCTCCGCTCAATTCCCGCTGAATCGCCTTGCTGTCGTCCGCGCAGGTGTGATGCCAATCCCGATCAGCACGGCGCTGAGAGATGTGCCCTTGAAGATGCTCTCGTACTGCTCGATCTTGAGGCGGGTCGAGTAGGGCTGACGCTTGATGCGGAGAAAAGTCGCGCCCGTGACGGCCAGCCAGGCGCCGAAGAGGATTTCGTAACGGTACTTCTCCACCAC